GGGTGGGAAGATATGAGATTATAGAGCACTTATGTTCTAATATTGGAAAGCCCAGTTCCCAAGGCTATCATTAAAAAATTGCGTTGCCGCATGATGAAAATGAACGAGGTTATCGAACGAACTTTTATGATATATATATATATATTTATAATCAACTAAATTTACATTTATAAATTTACGAAATTACGATTTTACTAGACTACATAATTTTCTTATTAACGTATCTTCGTTAATTCATTATTAATTGTAAGCCGAATTTAGCAGAGGATAGCCAAAGGTAGTCATATCTAGCCGAAAATAATCGACAACTATTCGGCTATTTCCAGTTATCCTCGGCTGATCTTATATTGTAAGATTTGTCAAATATAATTATAAATTATTATTTACAAACAATATAGATAGAGGGTATTCTCTATTTATGAGAAACATAAATTCTTCCCTTTTTTTTAATGAATTTATCTTTTTTCCCATGAATTTTACCTAATTATCCAATTGGCGTGAATCGTAAGATAAAAATATAAGAATGGTGAGAGAGATATATATAGAAGTAAAGTAAAATAAAGTAAAATAAATAAATAAATAAATATAAAAGGTATAAGAGTAAAAAAAGAAAGAAAGAAAAAAAGAGAGGCGCATGCAACACTCACGGTGGACATCGGATGCGAGTAAGTTGTGGTGTTGGTGTGGTGTGGGCGTGCTAGGGAGGACCTGCAAAATAACCTGTGGCGGTAACGGGGCCCTAGGAGTATTGGCGGGCGTTGTACCATTCATGGTACGAGCCTGCTGTCCTCGGGGCCCCGTGCAGGTATCCTGCCTTGAGGATGTTTCGCTGAGAGCAACGTTAAAACTGTTGGAAAATGGCCGGTGCTGTTCAGCAGCACCGTGGCTCATTGCAATACCATTGCCACCACTTCCACCACCTCCACCTCCTCCCCCACCTCCTCCTGCTCCTCCTCCAGCAACAGCAGCAGCAGGTGAACCACCGGTTCCAACAGGTATACTGCAACTTATCGAGAGGGTTGTTGTGGTCGTTGTAATGTTGGTTGTTGTCGTTGGTGCTGTATTACTCGAAGAAATCATTGTCGTCGTGGTACTCGTAGTAGTGTTGGTATTTGTCGTCGTCGAACCACTACTACCAGAATTAACCGCATCTGTTTTAGTAGTCTCGACTACTACCTGTGCAGGCTCGGCAGCAGCGCTTTGATGATTTGCCACTACAAACGCTGAATTTTCTTCTTTGGTAATGCTCATGTAATAACACGTATCCGTCTTTTTCATTATGTGCCTGGGACCTGTCGATCGAAACTTAAGCTTGTTTCTTTTTTTTTCTTTTACTCCTTTTTTAGTTAGAATAAATTTAACGGAAAATGTTAAAGAAAGAAAGAAAGAAAGAAAGAAAGAAAGAGAGATAAATTGTATTTAGAAAGTATAGTTCTCAAGGGAAACATCCTACCGGGATTGAGTAGAATAGTGTCTTCGTAAAATTCGGGAAGTTCGGCTGGTCTGACGGCAACCAAAGCAACGCCGTATTTCCGGTGACTGTGAAAGGACGCGTAAGTGAAGGACTTGCCCTCGTATTCCCCGAAGAATCGTGAATCTCCCAGGATTATATGGTAAATCTCGTTGCCGGAACATTTGCCATAGAGCCTGTGCCATTCCTCTTGCGATTGCTGTCCCTCCCTGAAATTACGGAGGGAGGAGGGGGGAAATAATGCCGGAGAATCTTATAAAAGGATAATCTTGACAACAATTTACGAAAGTCTGTATTTTCTACGAACACGCAATAGTAGTAGTAATAGTAGTAGTAGTCATTTTATTTTACGTTCGTAAACGGGAGACAAACAAGTTGATGATTAAATTTTTACTTCGACAAAAAAAAGAAACCCAAGGCTGAGATTAAAAACATGAAAACAACTTACTGTCCTCTCGATGTATGCAACAGAAGGGTTACCAAGGTCGATGCACCGGGACACGTACAATTATTCGCTAAAAGGGCGTACTTGAATTCGTCCTCGCAAACAACGTGTTCCGCAAATTTCACGTGGAGCTTGTTCTCCGGACGGAAGATCTGAACGTATTGTGGAACGTTAGGTGCAAAATCCTTAACTGCCCACGACCTGTGTGTGAACACAGGTGTGTTAAATCAAATATTTATTATCTTGATCGTTATATAAATTATTAATTCGTATACGATCGATATTCGTTAAACAAAAAAATCTGAGAGATAATATTTATATCTGTTAAAATGTCTCTAATATTTTCGTTTAATAATAATTATAATTTATTTAGTATTTCTGTCGTCCAAAATTACAATTTTTAATGATAAAATTTTACAGGGAACTTGGACATGAAAAGAAGTAAAACTTAGTTTGATTGAGTTGGACGTTTCGTCCCTTTATTGGGACTTCTTCAGCAACTTAATCTTTAAAGCTCAGCGTCTTTTTTCTTTAATTCGACATACATTTTTTCTTTTTGTTAATATTCCAAACACAACACATTTAAACTTCGTTAATTCGATCGTTATTATTTAAAGTCCTCAACAAAACTTTAAAAACAAAAATTTTGTCCAAGTTCCCTGTAAAATTTTATCATTAATAATTATAATATCATTTTTTTTTCGCGAGAATCAACATTAAAAATCGGATGTGTTAATGTATGTTTTAGAAAAAGAAAAATAATAAGGATAAACATTAATAAAACAGCCTGATGAAAATGTTCTCGCAATAGTAGAAGGGTTTATTATCGATTCGCGTAACTGCGGATAATCCCATTTGAAACATCCATCCATTTAACTAGTTGGCCAATCACGAACGAAAATGACGAAGTTGCGAATATCAATCGATATGGCAGGTAGACAGGTGTAGGCACTGCGGTAAATAGTCGACCTTAGTATCGTGTGCTCGTCGGCAGCCGTTTTGTCAGCGTAATTTCTCGCAGCAAGGACGAAACAAGCTTCCGCCTCGTTCATCCTGGCTCGGGCTAGGTCACCGTCTTTCAGGCAGGATCCTTGAATATAAATCACTCTTTGCGCCCATATAGGTACTTGCAGGATCATTCTCATCGTCGTGTCGAGTTCCATCGGAGATAAGAGAACGACGTAATAATCCTAAGCACGTTTTAAAATAGGATTTAACACAAATTATGGGGGGGGGATTGATGATCTAATAGATAGGATCCGATTTCTCATTCAACGTAATTGTCACCAGTACTTTTTTACATTTCAAATGATTTTATTCGAGAGATTGATCGATCGGATCTCTATCGATCTAAAGAATGTTCATTTTGTTAGATAAATTAGGATTGTGTTAGAATTATTCGTATACTTGTAAGAAAAATCTTAGATAACATTAACCCCTTAACCTACCGATTTACGTTCAATAATTTTTATTTTTATTTATTATATTAAATTTTGACAAATATTTATATCTGACCCGATCATCGTACTACGGGCTGCTATGTCCCCCATAGTTGTAGGTTAAAGGGATAATAGATAAACAAGTATATAATTCGAGGATTGAATTCATGTTCGCTGACCTGCAGCAACGGATGAGCGTAGAATTCATTTAAGAAATCCATTATGGTGTCTGCGTGTAGGGTTGTACTGCAAACGACTACGTGTTTTTCGCTTTGAGCTCTGTGCGACGAATAAGAGCCACCCAACTTTTGTCTTTCCATCCAGGTAAAAGCCAACTGTTCGAACTAGCGGGGAGTTGATGATGAAACAAAAACAAAAAAAGAAACACGGCGTATAGAAAACATTGGATCTATCGCAACACGTCCGATAACAGAAGGAGGAGGAGGAGGAGGAGGAGGAGGAGTACGTATGCGCGAATGAAATTTGTTCAAAGGAACTTGTGTTAATATTTTCTCTTCTATTTTCATACGCGTATGTATTCCTTCGAGCATTGAATACAAACTTTTCTCTTTTCTATTTCCGCGTGTACGTTTTGAAAAAACTATTCTCGTAATAAATATTCGATCACAACGTTTAAACGTTATCGACCAGAGCCCATCCCTTCCCACCCTTCCCTGCTGTTCGCACCCAGACGAGTCACGGACGAGAAATTTGACCGAAAAGTGGAAATCACGTTCCCGTAGAAATCCGTTCTCAGGTAGGTATGTATGATGACCAACAGCAACCGTTCCCGTTCCCGTTAACGACAACGAGAATCGCTATTTCTCGCGTGTATGTAGATGACAAGCAATTTGACAGTTGAATAGGGCAATATCATAGCTATCATTGTCTAGTCGTTATTGAGGATCCGACAGTTTCTCCTACCCTTCTAGGTTTCGAACAAGCTTTGTCCATCCGTCACGTTCGTAGACGATTGTCAAATAGTACCACTCTAATCGCCCCTCCCCCCATCACCACCACAACCATCATCACCATCACCACCACCACCACCCCAAGCCGCCATTTTTAAACAGTTCAATGTCGATCTCTATTTAATTGGACAGCTCGTATAGCACTCTTGAAAATTTTGACCGGTCGACGTTACGTACCAACCCCCAACCCCCCAGTCCAACCTAGTCCCTCCTCCTCCTCCTCGTCCCTGCTACTTTACACCGAAATCCTACTACCCCAATCTATCCGATCGAGTTAGTCTGGCACGCGTATTCTTTTTTTTTTTCCATCCCCGTGGACGAACGCGTGTCGAGCTTTTTTCATTTTCCTCTTTGCTTTTTAATCAACTATAAATTCATTACTCGTCATAGTCGATGATATATTTGACATTTTCTAATCGAACCTCTCCGGTTCCGGATAGCACGTATAATGCGAACCGGGATTGGTCTTTACAGGGTTTTCCTTTTTTTTTTTTATTCTTCTTTTTCTTTTTTACAAAATTCTATAATATATTTATCTCATTTTACGCGCACGTGTATCGTTTATTATTGTATATATATATATATTATATTATATAAAGAATAATTCTAAGGAAAATAATGAATTATTATACGTACCTGAGTTGGTAACACTATGAGAGCGACACAAATCATGATAACCATATAAAGTTGCGAGGGCCAAATATCGGGCACGAAGTCTCCGTAACCTACCGTAGAAAATGTTACCACGACGAAATACGTGCTTTGAAATAGATTTAAGTGCCTATGTCCTGCCCTCTGAAAATGCTGAATTCCGCATACGCTGAAACAAACAACACAATAAACAAAATAAAAATATTCTAATCAATCAATCAAATCAATTATAATGAAAAAATATCATTTGCAATTATTATGTGCATGCTATTAATCGTGAAAAAAAGATCAAATCAATTTGTACTATTTAATATTACTTGAACACACATATGAAACAAAATAGGAACTATGATGAAAATTATTTTTTATCCTCTGATATATCAGGATATACATTTTCTTTGTCCTGTAGAAAGTGGAGAGAAGAAAGAAAAAAATAAACAACCAACCCCCCTGTCAAAGAGTATATTATAATAAAGACTACAAATACTTGATAAATTCTGTAGAAATGGATGGACCGAAGGGAAAGGCTGCAGAAAAAGGTTGAGGACCGTGTACGGTTTACTAACAGGGAGGAATATAAGGGCTGCTGGCATTTATAAACGACTGATATCCATTATGCATGCGGCCTCCTTTTTATATCTATATCAGTATGGATATTTTTTCTTTTTTTTTTTTTTTTCACTTTCTTCCTCGTTTTACATCCTATTCTCCTATTTTTTTCCTCTCTCTCTTTTCTTTTTTTTTTTTTTCTCCTAACAGAAACTATTCACTCGTCCAACAAACCGGACGACCCATTGCCACGTGTTATAACGAGACTCGCATTAATGAAACGTGACATTAAATAAAAGATTTTTACATAAGCATTTAAAGAATGCAAAAGAGAATTCCTTTTCCGCGGGTTAGATTGAAACTTTTTTTAAAACATTCAAGTTTATTTCTTTTTTCTTCTTCTTCTTTTTTCTAGCCATATTTTTGCTCATTCGAAAATTTTTCCTCTATTTTTTTTAAATATTTACTCCGGAATATATTTTCTTTTGATTTAGCGATGTTTTATTTCGTATTTATTTGTTAAATAAATCAACGTAAGCGAATATAAATATCCCCATTAAAATTCGTATGATGACGATAATATAATAAAATAATTTAAGTGGAGATGAAATATTGATGGATACAAAATATATATATAAAACGAAGTGGGTGTAAAAAATGTGATAGGTCAACGAACTTAATTCCGGTGTATAGTTAAATGCATTTAGATTATTATATTACGAAGGTTGTGTAGTAGAACGTTCAATTGTGCGTCACGTGTCATGGCTACGATAGAAAAATGGTTTTAAAATAGTCGCGTGAAAAGGGTTGTTCGTAATTGAAAGAAAAAAAAAAGAAAATTATCATCCTCCGTTGCTTTTTTTAAACGAAACGCGAATATCGTCGCATATTTCGATATAAAATATTTGTAGTTGAAATTGTAGACATGAGAAAAAAAAAAAAAGAAAAACAATGTTCTATAAAGTATTTAACAACAAATTTTCCTATTATCGTAATTACTAATTTATTTTAATTGTTACTTCTAATATCATGATTTGTATTTTGCATTTAAGAAAATATTATATCTGACATCTGTCGATGTAATTTTAATTTGTTTTACGATATATTTGAATAAAAACTATTTGAGAATACATTTCTATCGGTATTTTATAATCAAAAGTACTCTCGAGATTATTCATAACGATCTAGGAAAACGTTTGACGTTGGCAAACGTCAAAGAATTGAAAAAAAACGATGACGACGACGACGAGAAGAGGAGATAAGCGAACGAAAATCTCCAAGAATCGTTTGTAAAATATTATCTCTAAATAATACAAAAAAGAAAATGAGAAAATGGAAAGATTTAAAAATATTGAGAGAAGGTAAATCTGAGGTTGGTTGGGATTAAACGTGGAAACGTTTGCCATTTGAAAAATTGTTTTGAAAATTTGTTAACGAGGGTGAAAAGGAAGAAAATAAGTAAACCTTTAAAAAGCTTCTTTTTGAGTTAGAATAAATATCGAGAAAAACGAATAAATATAATAATAATAATAATGAATATCAGAGAGAAATATATATATATATCGTGGGATGATTATTTATTACACAATGATTATTAATCAAACTAATAATCCAAATTCATAATTGTAAATCAATATTATTGATTCACGATATATATATGTAAAATATAAGAAATCATATAATTTTACGTTAGTTGATAAGCCGTTGTTGTTGTTGCAGTTTATGATTAAACGCACTGATTACAAGGGCAAAACAATTGCTGAGTCTTTGATATTATATACGTCGCATCAGAGAATTACACCATACATAATAAATCCTATGCGATCGATGGTGACACCAATCCATCTGCAGAACCCGCCGCCACGATTACTTATTAACGTATGTCCCATATTACGATTCGCGAGTCGATCAACAAACTTTATTTCTTACTTTTATCATACACCCCCAACACCCCTCACAACCCCCCATACTCGATTTTATTCTTACCTATAACTCTTTTTCTTTTCCTTTTTCTTTTTCGCTAAGAAACTAACGTAACATTGCACTTGTATATGATGTAACTTTCGAATGTATATATATATATATATACACACGTACACACACGTATTCAGTGATATTAAACGTTAGATATGATCGATTAGACGATGTCGTCACGAATCTTTAACAATTCTTATCATACGTATCTATTACTTTTACCGATCTCACGAATATTAAATGAAACTAATGCAACAACATTGTATCTATCTATCTATACTTTTGTCTCTTGATAGATTTATTTTTCTCCTTTTTTATTTTACATTTCCTTTATCTTTTTTGTTTTCCCCAAACGTAATTTACGATTCGTTGTCTAGTCTAATACAATACGATAGTTTCATTTTAAATTACAAACTTATCTATTTAATAAATAAGGAAACACGAAGAGATATAAATTTCGAAATAGAAATTTATTCTTTTTCCTTTTTTATAACGAGAGACAGACTAATTGTAAGAGAAACAGAAAAAGAGATAGACAGATAGATAGATAGATAGATAAATAGGGATTGAGATAGATATAGAAACTAAACTAATCACTTAAAAGCGTGAACAAGAGACAAATACAAATGATTACTGATTATTTTAGTAAGAGATTAAAGGAAAGGAGAATCCCATGTTCAAGATGAATTCGTATTCACAAACTTCCGGCATGTTCTCTCTCTCTCTTACTCTCACTCGGTAGGAAACTTTTCTCATTATATCTATATAACAATATTGTCGTATATGAAACAAACATAACAACGCGTTGCGTAAATTTAAATAACGAATGGTAACATCGAGAACCGGTGGATTTGATAGAAAAAACTAATACTATAAATTCACTTTAATCATGTTAAACTCGTCTGGAAGCAGCTGATTCTACTGCTGGTGCTGCTATTGTTTCTTTTTGTGTCCTAGATACGCAATCATAATTTAAACAACGTTCGGCAATTAGATTTTCTCTATACTAAACTAAATGATTAACAACGAAATAATCAACAAATTCCTATGATTCGTGATTGAACGTTAGAATTATTATAATCCTTACGACAATTATACGATGATTATTTGATTATTTGTTTCTTTTAGAAAATATTTTTAATCTTAAAATTAAAATTTTCTTCTTTGTAATATATTTGAATTAATATATTTTGGAATAAATTTAATTGCGTTTGGCATTGAATTTTTGTTCTTAGAATTATATATTTGATTGGAAGAGACGTATCTTAAATGTACAAAGAAATGCACGCAAAGTAGTATGATGATTAAAGAAAAAGGGTGCGGTATCGTTGTCGTCCTAGTCCTCGTCCTCGTCCTCGTCGAACCTATGAGAATGGTTGACGAAGAAAATTAACATGCCACATGGGAAGTGCTGAATAATGTCTACAAACAAATTAACGTGTTGGCGTTTGAAACACGCCCCAAAGTTGTCGCGAGTACTACTACCTTACTTTAAATGTTTCAAAAAAATCGTTCTTAGTTATTATGAAACCTTCCACCTGTATATCAAAATTGGCAAATATTAATGAATTGTTTATAGTGGAAAAAGGGTCAACGTTCTCGCGTTAGATTATTTTTGTTTTAACTGTACGACAATGTAAAAACTGTGATGGGAAAGAAGAGAAAGTTTTTTCTTCTTCTTTTTTCATTTGTTTTTTTTGAAAGAAATTAAACGCTAAAGGAAATACAAAATTAGTCGTTTCGAAAAAATACATTTCTGATAAGTTTAACATATCGAATTCTGTCCCGATAATTATTTTTTCCTATCAACGACAAACGTTTATCGTAATAGTTTCTGTTTTACTGATTGACATCTTTAGAAAATCCTGATTGCGTTTCCGAGTAGTTTAAGTATTATGTGTGTGTGTGTATGTATGTTCGGTCACTGATGCTTTGTTACTTCTCACAACCTGGAGGATTATCGAATATTCCGGAATATTTAGTACGAAGGACGTTTATACAATTTTATTTTCCTCGAATGCACAAACTAAAAAATACATGTACAAGAAATTAAATGGTATTCGATGTACGAGATCAAAAGAAAGAATAAAGTATTCCCGTTCGATTGTATTTGTTTGTTTCTTTTGCAGATATTTTAAAGGATTTCTACGATTCGATTGAATTTCGATAAGATCGCGTGATTATAAACATTTATTTTCTTTTAAAGTTGTCTAAATGAACAAGAAACATACATGAATAATATATCCAACAAACAAATAAAATTCATTTTGCATTTTATTCTACCTGTATATACCCCGATTCATTGAAAATTTATTTCTCGAATGCTATTTCGTTGTATTAAATGAAACGTTGAATTCTCTCTCTCTCTCTCTCTCTTTCTGTTTCTCACACACATATATACAAACACACTAAAAGTTTCTTCAATAATTATTCAAGATTGCGTATTTATATTTATTATAGAATATTCATGAAAATAATATTAATCGTTTATATTATCACACATAATCTTATAACAATACTTATATTGTTTCTTATTCGAAATACAAAAAGATTATTAATATAAATTTTAAAATGCTCACCTAGTAAAGACAAGGCACAGTAACGTTGCACTAAGAATCATTAATTGTTGACTCAAGGCTGATTGAGATTTTTGCATGGCTCTGTGTAAATCATTCTGAAAAAGTAACAAAAAAAAAACAATTATTATTATTAGTACAAAATATTTGCCATTGCATCCAATTGATTTTTATTGGATATATATATATATATATCCAAAATACTTACAAACATATTCTCCAACGAATGTTTGGCCAACCAACAATTTAAGAATACCGGGATGAATAGATTTCTCATTGGTGGGTATAATAACTGAAATCATATATTTTAAAATATATAATGATTCAATATATAATGAATTATTTACAGAAACGGTTTACAAACGTGTTTATTCTGTGTTGTAATGCAATTCCACGTTATTTACTGGAAACATTGAGATATTCTAAATGTCTAAGTATGTAATAATGTATGCAGTTTTATATTTATACGTGAAAAATTGATAAATTTGATAAAACCTAATTTTGATAATAATTGTTTAAATATATACACGCA